CCTTCCGAGGTTAGAAAGCCGGCGGGTGCTGGGCGACCACGCGACGCCCCGCTTCGGAGCCGGGAGCATCTTCCTTCCCGCGTGCTCCGAGGTAGATTGAAGGAGTTGAAGGAAAAAAGCACTCCGGGTATAGTTGTATTAAAGACGTTTTCGACCAGCTTGTCAACGCGCTAGCAAACGCGTAGGCGAAACGTCGGCGAACAGCGTTAGCTCTGTACGGTTTGGTTTCCCGACGGTGACGTGTTGTAGGTGAGTTCTCCTAATCTGTTTTTTTTTCCCTGCGTTTTAGGCGAGTCCTATCAAAACCAGTCAATATGCAGTAAACAAAACACATGCATACAAAACAAATAGCGCAGTCTGTTCTCAGTTTCAGAAGAAACACACGCGGGTTGGTACATTATCCGCTAAAGATACTTCTCGGTGGGTTGTCTGTCCGCTTGGGACGGTCAGACGTGATGTGGCGCTTAGGCATGGGGTGGCTTGCGGGGGAGGCGTCTCGCTGCCCCGCTTTTCCTGCGATAATTTCCGGGCGGCCACGCGGTGTGCCTGTTAAAAAGGGCACGCGCCGTTGGGCTGAGGCGTTACCGAAGCGGTAACAGATCTCCTCCCGGCAAAAACGGACTCTGTAGCCCGTATCGATATCGCAGTCGCAGGCCTTCCCCGGCCACAAGGCTTGGCTCAACCTCGCCGCTCCGTCTCCCTGCTGCCTCCCGGCCGAGGATGCGTGGGTTTCCCGCACGCGCCTGAAACGCCACGGGGAAATAATTTGTTTTCGGGAAGTTATTTGCTCCCTTGAAGATCTGCGGTGCGCCGGCTGCGCTCTTTATTAAAGAGGGGAAAAACCGGTGTCGCTTCGCGACGTTTTCACGCCGCCTGTCAAGCAGCGGGGAGGACGGTCCGTGTAATTGGTTTCCACCTTGTCAGGTGCAAGCGGCAGCATCCGTTCGGTCTAGACCTCCGTACGCGGGTGTCAGCCCCACGGAAACGCCCTTTGGCTTACGCCGAGGCCGGTAGGATCGTTATCGCGAAGTGAAACTTCGATAACGATGGCTACGGTCCCTTTCGGAGCGGGGAACGGCTTCCCGTGGGGTGCTAGAAGGTGGCGCTAGGGATCTTCTCGAGACTTTTCGGTTAATCCCGCCGGCCTGCCTTCGAGCCACCGGTGACTCAGACCGGCATCAGCCATTTGTGCAGCAGGAAAAGACTAAACGCCAGTCGCCTCGTCCAGCCGCTTGCAAATTAATCAAATGAAAAAGAAAGGGGAGGGGGAAAGCGGTGCTGGGAATCTTTCGCGATGCTTTCTGGCGCCTTGCACGGATGCGGCCGACACGCAGACGTTTCTGAGACGAGGGCAGGTGCTCTGGCTTGTAATTAGCCAAACGTACTGAGGAACGCGCCTCCAGCTCCTCCCTGCGGCCGGAGCGCAAGGCCTTCGCGCCTGCTTTGTGTAATTAGGATTTATTGGCCTTAGGAAGGCTGGCAGGACGAGGCCTGCTCTCCGCCAGGTTGAAGCAACAGGCTGCGAGAGAGCTGATTCCTCGCCTTTTGCCAGGGTTATAAATAACAGCGATTTGAGGAGAAAGCACGCCTCTAAAAAACGCCGCTTTCGAACGCTGCTCCTAAACATGCTGGGAGGTGCTCTGGGATGGGACCTCCTCGCCCGCCGAGCCGGGCTGCGAGCTCCTCCGGGCTGGCAGAGCTCGGAAAGCAGCACCCCAAGGTGCAGTGCTCCGCGGCCGCCTCGGGCGCGCGCCGTCCTTTCCCGGGCGGTTTGCGGCGGGCCGCGCGTCTCCTCTCTCCGCGGCGTTGACGCGCTCCCTTCTCCGCAGGGAGTTAAGGACTCCATCTGGGGCATATGCACCATCTCCAAGCTGGACGCTCGCATCCAGCAGAAAAGGGAAGAGCAGCGGCGGAGGAGAGCGAACAGCGCGTTCGCCCAGCGGAGGTTTCAGGCGGACGAGAAGAAGTACGAGAAGTGAGTACGGGGCCCGGGGCGACACGGAGCAGGCGACGTGCTCGCGTCCTTCCAGCCTCCCCGCCGATCCAATATCCATCACATTGCAGTAGTTCACCTAAAAGGGAAGTTGAGATAAGTGGGACTTAAGAAATACGGGCTGTTCTGGTTGCCTGCGCTGGGGGAGCGCTCTCTGAAGCAAGTCGGGTATCTGGAAAAGCAGAGCTTTTGATCCCTGTTTGCAAACGGCTTGCAGTAAAAACACGGTTCGTAAACCCAATTGTACTGAAGCGCGAGGGCGATAAATATAGAAATCGGTCCATGAGATACGCTTTTTTTTTTCCCGCTCTGCATAATGAAACTCTAGCACAACATTAAGAAATTAGCCAGATGTTTCTACCATTGCCTGTAAAAATAAAAGTAGGTAGCAGGTGTGAAATAATAATAGCAGGGATGCACCCTGGATGTATGAGGCTATATAAATCAAAAGCGCTCGGATTTCTGGGCTCCTTTTTTTTCCCCTGAATACTGAGCCTTCCTGCTGTCCTCCGAACTGAGCCCAGGCGTCGGGGCGGGCTGCGGAGCGGCCGCTACCGCCGCGGCCGGCGATGCCAGGGTCGCGTCCACCTGGGAGCGAAGCGGCATCTAGTTCCCAAACCGCGCCGAGATGCTTCTCGCTGTCCTAACTGCAGCCAGGCCGGCATTTAATGTCGTTGTGTTTGTGCAGTAATGCGTCTTTCAAGGCGTTCTTATACAGGTTAGGTTGACTAGCTCAGCAGCGTCTGACTTTAAGGATGGAAAAGTCTCCCACGTCACGTTCTCTCGACCCTCCCCAAACCACAGAGGTTCCTGCGGTTTTGCACGTTGGCTGCCCTTACAGAGTGCTGCGTATTTTTTTTAAGGATTGAACAATCACGTTTTGCTGTTCCTTTAGGTAACAAACTCCCTTTGTAGCTGACTAGACAAGTCTGCTCCCAAGTCCCACAGAGCTGCTCTCTCTTGCATGTCCGTAGAGATGATGCAAAGAGAGAAGCCAAAACTGCCTTCAGCCGCAACCATCTCCCCCACCAGAAAAAAAGAAGGCATCCTGAAGAGCCCTAATCATGTTGTAGCGAGAGTGTGAGGAGGGCAAAGCTTCAATTCTCTAATAAATACTTAAAAATCCGTTTCTCTAACTTGGCGTTCCCAAGATACGTTGAAGTAACCCCAAATAAAACCGTGGATCCTTTGCTGCTCCCTTGTGTTCCTTAATACGTTGGGATTTTCAGTGTCGCTTTTGAGTTTCTGGGGTTTCTTACGCTTGGCTTTTTGTCATAACGAATCCCCCAGTCGCTTTTAGTGTAAACGAATTATTTCTGTTCTCGACTTTTACTCCTTTTTAATGCGCTTTTGGAGGATTAATAAAGGTTGAAAGTCTCCCTGATGTAAACCTGCAGAAATCTAAATTGCGCGTTGGCTCGAAGCTGTGCGTGCAGGGATTTCTTGCAGAATTGCCACGTTCAGATAAAACCAGTTGTGTGCGTAGATGTTTCTAAGGTGTCCGTCACCTCAAACACGGGGGACGGAAGCAGATGTCTGGGTTGGGGATCGTTTGTTCAGACGCCGGTAGCTAAACACATATGTCTCACCCGTGTCTGTCCTGTTGCTTTCCAGTGAACCCCGGATAGTGAGCCGGATATTTCAGTGCTGCGCGTGGAATGGAGGCGTGTTCTGGGTACGTGGATGTTTGTGGGGTTTTCCACGGCAAGCTGTAGGAACTGCGAGGGAAGTTTCCAAGTCCCGAAGCTATAGGTGAAGGGACCCCACGTCACATATCTAACTGGTAGGCTTGTGGCAGGGAAAGCCGCAGATTGAACCCGAGTTGCGTTTCCAAGTATTTGAGGCTGCTCTTCGCCTGAATGTTTGACTCCTGCCCAGGCACCGCCTGGGATATTGCTTCACCACGTTGAATATTGATATCTTAAGACGTTTTCTCAGCTCTGACCTTACTGCAGCTGCTAATAGGCTTCGTGAGGCTGATTCTTAACGGAGCGGACTCATTTCAGCCTAATAAATCGTTGGCTTCATTTTTCCCCTAGACCCTGTCCAGGTATGAGGAATCGGCATGGAAACGTTAAAAGGAAAGCGTTCAATTACAGATTTTGCTTATATTTAAATAGAAGTCCTCAGCTCTCTATGAATGGCTCATTGCCTTTGTAACGGCACAAGGAGCGGGCCTCCCGATCGGCACTCGCAGCCTTTGCTGTCACGGCATGTGAAAGTTACTGCTGTCGTTTGAAGCTGAGCTATTTACGTGCCAAATACGGAGCTGTCCTTAGCCAGACTGCGTGGCTTTCGAGCTGGCCCTGACATCAGAGGCGGTTGTAGCACCTTTAGGAGGGTTTCTGCCAGAGATGTCCTTGGAGACACGTGGGTTTCTCTGAGAAAGTGGCAGAGAGGAGAGCAAGAAATGAATGTACAAGACCTCACCAAGAACCCATGTTGTTTCTTTTTTCCTGTAGCTTAGCCTCTTCTTGTTTTACCGAGTATTTATACCTGTACTTCAGTCGGTCACGGCACAAATCATCGGTAAGTACCTTTTTCTCAGGCTTCCTCGGGGCACGTGGATGCTTTGGGTTTCTTGAAGCTAAAAGGAGCCTCGTTTGCTCCTTCTGGCATCAGTTGCGAAAGTTGATGGGTTGGCCTTAAAAACCACACCTAGGCTGTACCAAGCAAGGTCGTGATTAACGATGAGTAGAAAATCAGACGGATGGTCCAGCTAACAGGCTGGAAGGGGTGACCGCAGCCCGTGAACTCTGCCGAGTGTAAAGGAGGGGTTTTACAAACACAGTTGTTGTTAGATGGAGAATATTTCTGCAGGTAAATGCAGAAATGCTCGAGCGCTACAGGCAGAGGAGAACTTCACCGTGATGTAGAGCTGGCCGGGCGTGAAACGTTGACGCAGACCTCGCGGGTTTGCAGTGTGAAACGAGTTGGTTCCTACACCAGTTGTGAGGTGCTTCTCCGTGTCCGTCTTCCGCAGGCGACCCTTCCTTGCACGGCGACGTCTGGTCTTGGCTGGAGTTCATCCTCACCTCCATTTTCAGTGCCCTCTGGGTCCTGCCCCTGTTTGTGCTCAGTAAGGTGGTCAATGCCATCTGGTTTCAGGTAGGTGATGCGAAGCACGGACTGCGCCCCAGCGAAACGAGGGGGAATTTCCCAGTTAAGACTCAGTTGCTCAAGGCTAAACCCACAGGGCAGCCTGCAGCCCCTTTTGCTGGCAGTGCGGCGGCTGGCAGTTTGGTGCAAGATAAAACATCGCAGACCATATTGGCATCACTATGTGAGAGGCCAAAAAAAAAGAAGGCAATTTGTCTTTTTACCCATAACAACCTTAGAAAACATGAGATTGCACCCGGAGAACGGGCTTTGGCCGAGCTCCGAGTAGGCGGCTGCGCATGAGTAACATAGTCGCTCGCCTGAACTGCCTTTTATGTTTTCCCTGACACCCGTTTCTCTGCTCTGCAGGACATTGCAGATCTAGCGTTCGAAGTGTCCGGCAGAAAGCCTCATCCCTTTCCCAGCGTCAGTAAAATCATTGCTGACATGTTGTTTAACCTCTTGCTGCAGGCGCTCTTCCTCATCCAGGTGAGGTCAGAGTAACCAGCCCGCCCGGGTCGCCCCGCGTCTCGCGCTCGGGTGCCGACAAGCGCGCAGCTTGCCAGTCAGTCCCGAAAGCGCCTCACCCGCCTGTTTTCTCCCTCTCTAGGGGATGATAGTGAGTCTCTTCCCCATCGATATCATCGGCCAGCTCATCAGCCTCCTTCACATGGCGCTGCTCTATTCTCTGTACTGCTTTGAATACCGCTGGTTTAACAAAGGTGAGCGCTGCCTCCGCCCTCGGGGCGCTCGGCCAGGCCGACGGGGTCGAGGTGCTTCCCCGTAGAGGGTTTCGCCGCTCGGTTAACATCTAGACGGGGTGAAAGATGCTGATTTGGGGACGTGCGGGCAACCCACCGAGGCGTGCGCGCGGCAGGGAAACGAGCATGCCGTTCTGCAGGCCTGTTAACAGGAGAGGCACTGCTGCTAGTTACCGCTCTCCTCCATTTGGCTGCAACTACGTGATTTTTTTTTTTTTTAAATCTCTGCGCATTTGGTCTTTTGGACAACAGAGTTATGAGTCTTCCTATGCTGTTTGAAGCAGACTGCAGAGAAACGCTTCTCGTTCTGCTCATTTGGTTCGTTGTTTTCTTTCGGTGTACAAAGAAACACTACGCACGTATAGCGAAGACTTGTTCGCATCGTGAGAATTTTCTGGGTTCATTTCTGTGAGATTTTGTCCTTATCAGGAATTGAAATGCACCAGCGGTTGTCCAACATCGAGAGAAACTGGCCCTATTACTTCGGATTTGGCTTACCCTTGGCTTTTCTCACCGCGATGCAGTCCTCTTACATCATCAGGTGAGCCTTTTGGGGTGGGTTTGCGAGGAGGAGGAGGAGGAGGAAGCGTTAACTTCTGCCTCCCAATCCCGAGACGGGATGTTTCTGCCCGTTTCCGGGCAGCGCAGAGCTGCCCCCTCCTCCACGGCACCGGAGGTGCTTCCATAGGGAGATACGGACGGGTTTCCCGGGCCGACGGCGGAGGTGCCCGCTCTCGGTGGACGCGCCGGGAGTCCCCGGTGCGTCCCCATCCATTCCCCCCCCCTTTTTTTTTCTTTCTTGCAGCTGCTGCCTCTTTTCCATCCTTTTCCCTCTGTTCATCATCAGCGCCAACGAAGCCAGGACCCCTGGCAAAGCCTAGTGAGTATTGCCCTGGGGGGGCGGATGCGAAGCCCGGGCGGGAGGGACGTTGCAGGACGACCCGCTGTTCGGTGGGTAACGCCAAGTGGGAGGAGGAACGGATTTCCCTGAGCTTTCTGAGCCCAGCTGGTGATGTATAAAGGAAAGTGCTGAGGTTTCTTGAGGCGCTCAAAAGCCTCTCGAGTTGCCTTTGGGCGTTAACGGGAAGCGCGTTACGTTGGGGGAGCGCCCGCTCGCCCCGGCCCCGCTGGCCGCCGCGGCTC